AGAAGATGCTGGAAAACCAAAGAATGTGCAGGAGCTGGAGGATTTTTCTGAAGAACAGCAGGTAGTTTAACTGTTCAGGACAAACAAGGAACTCATGAACAACTATCACAAAACATAAAAACAATCATGGATCATCCAGGAAATGACACACAGTATTACGATTTAAGGGTATGTAAACTTTTGAACGGGGTCATTTTTACAAATTCAGTTATTTTGTCTTGTGGAGTATATTTAAACATCTATTATGTGAAATAGCTTATTCAAGACAGTACTAAAAAAAAAAACAACGTGCAATTTTCATGATCCCTCTTATTTTGTTAAAATTATGAACATTTTGCTTATTCTGCAAGGGGTATGTAAACTTATGTGCACAACTGTGTGTGTGTGTGTGTGTGTGTGAATATATATATATATATATATATATATATTTGTATGTGTGTGTGTGTGTGTGTGTGTGTGTGTGTGTGAATATATATATATATATATATATATATTTGTATGTGTGTGTGTGTGTGTGTGTGTAGGAGGAGGACTTGTACCTTCGGAATCCACTGTAAAGTGTTAGAATTTAGGTCAAAACCAGAGCATTCAGCATCAGTTATGATGACAGCAATAATCACAATAAAAAATAAAAAAAAAGCTTAAAAGACCAAACTCTGGAAGAGAGCTGTCTGATGAAAATAAAGCATAACGGACACCAGAAAGAGCTGAAATACTGTTCAGCAAATACTTTTTGATATTTTGTATAGTTATATTTTTCCCACTACATTGAAGTAAATATCAACTCGCAATTGCGAGTTTATATCTCTCAATTCTGAGAAAAAAAGTCAGAATTGTGAGATAAAAAGTCGCAATTACCTCTTTCATTTTTTATTCAGTGGCGGAAACGGGCTTCCATAATATTGTAGGTCTAATACTAATATTCATCCTATTACAGAACGCCATGTATTCGCCAGCACTGGTTTCGTTTCTTTTGATCATTTGATCACGTTGTTGTCACTTGTGACGTCGATCCAAAAACGCCAATCACATTTCTACAGTCTTGTCAAAAGGCCAATCGTAGCTTTCTTTGGGCGGAGTGTTTAAAGTCAAGTGTTGCTCACAACTGGCGAGTCTGTGCAAAGTTTGCAACTGAAACAAAATGCTGGAAAGCAAAATAACACAGTTGACAGTGCGCGACGTAAGATTCCCGACGTCACTGGAACAACATGGATCGGATGCAATGGTGTGTAGCCTACTAACGATTCACTTCTGTATCGTGTTTATTTCAGAGTGATCAGAGTTAATGGATGCGCCAACAATAATGCAAGCATTACAGTTGGCTATAAATGTGATTGATTCGCAGCACACCGATCCAGATTACTCAGTCGCATATGTTGTTCTCGAGACGGACTCGGATGCTGCACTGAAGGGTTATGGGTTGACTTTTACTGTAGGAAGAGGGACGGAAATCGGTGAGATTCGCAAATCTATAACAATTCTACAAATATGTCATATGACCATGTCGTGCGAGTGGATCCTATACGTGTCCTATGATTTCAGTAACAATACAAGACTGACACCTTGTGGTGCTAATTGTTTTCAAGGTTTTTATTCCCTAAAACTCCATAGTAACGTATGGACATCTTATTTCTTTGGAAGCTTGTTTCCGCCACGGGGTTCTCAAAATTGAGATAACTCTCATAATTGCGAAAAATAAAGTCATATATACACATATATATATATACATATACATATATACACATATATATATATACATACATATACACACATATATATATATACACATATATCTTTCAATTCTGAGTTCATACATCACAATTCGGACTTTATTTTCCGGTCTCATGAAAATGCGTATGAATAGTACGCCAAATAAAAACGTCTCTCTCTCTCTCTCTCTCTCTCTCTCTCTCTATCTATCTATCTATATATATATGTTTTTTTTTGTATGTAAATAAGAAGAAGAAATAGTTTTGTTGGTAAATAGTGTGGTCAGTTTGTCCAATTCAGCAATTTTGTATTTTGCAACTATTTATTACATTTTATATATATAGCAGCCCTCCACTAGTACTGACACCTTTGGAAAATATGAGCAAATTAATCAGCTGAAGAAAAAAAATGTCCTGTGTTGTTTATCTTCATGATTTTTCATTCACGGTCTGTCGGGTATGTTTGTCTTCTTGTCAGGATACATAGTGTCATGCATTACATCACATCAAGCAGCAAATATTAGACATCGGACTGCATTTGCTGGAAAGCTTAAACTTGTGTGGTTGGACAATGATCCAAAGTATACACCTTAAAAAAATAAACACAAAAATGGTTCACTGACCACAGAATGAAAGTCTAACTTTGATGACCACAGTCCCCTGGCCATAGTACCTTTAAGAATATTGTATAAGAATATTATTTTACTATTTTGATTAAAAGTTAGATTTCTGTAAATTATTTTTAACGAAAGGCTCATATTTTAATTGTGAAGATAAAAGAGCCATTGTGTTAGCTGAAATATTTGTTTAGTTTAAATAGTATTCCTATTAGGATCCATCAGTTCCAAATTATGAAAGAAATTCTAATATAATTTTTTAGAGTTTATATTAAGCAAGATCATTGTGTGTCTGTTTGTCTGTAGTGGTATGTGCAGTTAAAGCCTTATCTACTTTGGTGGTCGGGAAGACTTTGAAGGAGATAATCAGTGACTTCAGAGGCTTCTACAGACTCCTGAGCAGTGATGGTCAGATGAGATGGGTTAGTATCACAACAATGAGCACAGCTACTTCAGTCCTTTCTAGTCGTCATGTACAGTTATTTGAATGGATGAACTTACTGATAGGTTGGACCAGAAAAAGGAGTAATTCAGCTGGCGACAGCAGCCATTCTGAATGCTGTCTGGGATTTATGGGCGCGGGTGGAGGGCAAGGTGAGAAACAAACCCTTAAAGACAAATACTTCTGCATGTTGTCAATTTGGACAAATGTTGTAAGAATGGATGAATGTAGAATATCATTAAAGGTCTGAATGAATATGTTTTGCAGCCCTTGTGGAAGCTACTTGTAGACATGGTGAGTATTCACTTTTCAAAATGTCTCTTAGGCGCTTACATGATCGCAATTAAGATGCAAAACAAAGCAATATTGCTTAAAGTAGGCATGAAACGGAATTTGCAACTAACTGTTTCCATGTCATGTGATGATTCTGAGTGAAGTGGCTTATTGAACAGAATGAGCAAAAATTATTTATCCATTGGTTCTTGGTTGTTGTTGATATTCGTTATTAATTTTGATGAAAGCTTATGAGGTTTTATATATATATATATATATATATATATATATATAAGCATTTATGCCGCCTTATCTATTTATTTGTGAGGAAAACCAGTTTAGATTAGATTTTTTTTACATGTGTAAGCAATAAATCAACATGGTGGATTGTGAAAATACAATATGGGACATTCATTTGTCATTAATCTTTTGCTTTGCATCCATCAAGTTCCAAATAAAAAGAAAAAATTATCAAAAGAGACAAAGTTTCAGAATTACTTAATATTGGGAACCACTGGTCTCAAAACAGGGACGTTCTCTTCATTAGCAACCTCTGAATTATATATATATAGAAGTAGCACTATGCTTACTTGTGTATTTATGATTCCTCTGCCTAGGATCCTGCAAAGTTGATCAGCTGTATTGATTTTAGATATATCACCGATGCACTGACTGAGCAGGAAGCTTTAGGTGAGGTCATTAAAGATTGTTTGGCATTATCATTTAATGTGCTATTGTATTCATATAATTCACTTTTTCACTTCTCTTTCTTTTAGATATATTGGTAAAAGCAAAAAAAGGTCAGAAAAGTAGAGGTAAGATGAGTTCATAAAGACTATAAGCAGTGTTGTTCCATATTTGATTTGATTTGATTAATTTTTTTATTTTTTTTACATTTTTTATTAATAAAAAAATCCTGAAAAAAAAAATCAAGCAGCATGACTGATTACAACTTTGATAATAATAATAGACAAATACTGTCTAACAACATGACATAGTGAAAATTGAGAGTGGAAAAAATTAGATTTCATACTGCTATGTTATTGACAATCCTGCAGTGTTCTTTGTGATGGGCACTAATGGCTTTAATAAAAAATAAAAAAATTGGTATGCACACATCCAAAACCAGAAATAGGCTCAGGTGCAGGACAACAAAACGACAATAATCTAATAAAGACAGATGGCCATGCACTGAAATTACCCACACGCTCTTTTGTAAATACACTTTTTGTAGTGTGCAGATATCTATCATTTTCACTAATAACTTTAAACCACTACAGAGGAGCAGATGTTAAAGGAAGGCTATCCTGCCTACACCACTTCCTGTGCCTGGCTGGGATACACTGACCAACAACTAACCCAGGTATGTCTGTTTATTTGGTTTCTGTTCATACTCAGACAAGGATCATATGCTTGACATGGTTTGCTTTGTGTAGCTCTGCTCTGAAGCTCTTGCTCAAGGCTGGACTAAATTTAAAGTGAAGGTTGGGGCTGATTTGCAGGATGACATCCGTAGATGCAGCCTTATCCGGAAGTTGATTGGACCAAACAACACCCTGGTGATTCGAAGTCAAACATGCATACATTGCAACACACATAGTTTTTAATATTTCAACCTGATCATGTTTTACTTCAGTTAGAATTAAGAGTAGAAGGCTACATTTGACAGGATAGTTTACAAGACCTCTTATCTATCAGATGATTGATGCCAACCAACGATGGGATGTTAATGAAGCGATTACTTGGGTAACCAAGCTGGCAGAATTTCACCCACTATGGATTGAGGAACCCACATGTCCTGATGATGTTTTAGGTCATGCTTCCATCTCTAAGGTAAACAGGTTCATTATATTCATTATTAAACCATGTTATTCAGGTTTTGATGGTTCTTGTTTTGTTGTTAGGCACTTGCACCTTTGGGTATTGGAGTCGCCACTGGAGAGCAGGTGAGATTCTATATAAAACGTGTTATAAAACGTGCAAATGCTCAACACTGCATCATAAGAGAACCTAGTGCTTCATGTCTCACTATTTTTACTGTTTAACTGTTAATAAACTCTGATCTGTTATCTGTCAGTACTGTTTTAAAGGAATAGTTTACCCATAAATGAACAGTCACCCTCATGTCATTCCAAACTTGTATGATTTTTTTCTTCTCCTGAACCCAAAAGACAATACTCTTAAGAAAGTTGAGGTCCAAACCAACGTTCATTGTATGGAAAACTGTCTCTTTTTGTTAATTTTGAGATATCATGCTGTATCAACATCTTTGTGTGCTTGTTTGCAGTGCCATAACAGAGTGATGTTTAAGCAGTTTCTCCAGGCCTCAGCTTTACAGTTTGTTCAGATTGACAGTTGTAGGGTGGGCAGTGTGAATGAAAACCTTGCCATCATACTCATGGCTGCCAAGTTTAATGGTAAATCAATTGTTAATATTATCAGCAAATCTCTGATTTGAATGATTATCTACCTATCTAGATTTCTGTGCAAGTCAAAATCATATGTCTTGTTTTTCTTTGCAGTTCCCGTGTGTCCTCATGCCGGGGGTGTGGGACTGTGTGAGCTTGTTCAGCACCTTATTTTATTTGACTACGTTTCAGTGTCTGCTAGTTTAAATAATAGGTACAGTATGTGTTTTGAACAAATATTTCTGTTTTTGATGCGTGCTAAAAGAAATATTTCACCTGAAACTGATGTTGTCATTTACACACCCTCATCATATGTGACCCTGGACCACAAAACCAGTCATAAAGGTCAATTTTTTAAAATTGAGATTTATACATCATCTGAAGGCTGAATAGATAAGCTTTCCATTGATGTATGGTTTGTTAGGATAATACAATATTTAGCCGAGATACAACTATCTGGAATCTGAGGGTGCAAAAAAATCCAAATATTGAGAAAATCGCCTTTAAAGTTGTACAAATGAAGTTCTTAGCAATGCATATTACTAATCAAAAATTAAGTTTTGATATATTTACTATATTTACAAAATATCTTTATGGAACATGATCTTTACTTAATATCCTAATGATTTTTGGCATAGAAGAAAATTGATAATTTTAAACCATACAATGCTTTTTTTGGCTATTGCTAAAAATATACCCCAGCGACTTAAGACTGGTTTTGTGGTCCAGAGTCACATATTGCTCCAAGTCCCCGTATTATTTTCTTTTATTGTGTGACACAGAGATATTTTGCTGATTTTCTAAGATTTTCTGTCTTTAAAACAAAACAAAAAAAATGGGTACTAGGGATGTTGAGCTTCAATAGGCACCATAAAAGTATAGTAAAAGGAGTCTACAAAAGCACATGACTTGTGTTCTATATTCCAAGTCTGGGTAATAGGCAGAGACAAAACGACATACTTTCAAAATTGACTAGTTTGTGGGCTGCGACTAAACTAGCTGACTAAATCAGCCTTAAGAATGCCTTTTAAAATTTGTCTGTCTTTGAGTTCAGCTCATTCCAATCAGATTTATGAATATGTAACATTTTATGAACTAGTGAGCATCACTCATCAACTAGACTGTTACTGGACTACTTGCTAAGTCCCTTCACTACACAAAGGGCAAGTCAGTTAACTAGGCAGTCATATTCATAGCAATCCCCTCAGCAATATTTGCCAGTGGCAACTAGTCTTCAACATGAATATAGAACATAAAAAAAGACAGATGTCTATGTTGGTTGCAATCGTGTATAAAAAAAAAAAAGGGAAAATAACTACTTCTGTTGAGTGGACGATTTGTGAATCATCAATTAATTGACCAGGGAAACCAGAAGTGAAGATTTTCAAGTACATTTTTGGAATACTTTCAGTTTTGGGTGAACAATTCCTTTAAAGGGTTAGTTCACCCAAAAATGAAAATTAGGCTGCGTTTTACTCACCCCCGAGGCATCCTAGGTGTATATGACTTTCTTCTTTCAGACGAATCCAGTCGGAGTTAGATTAAAAATAGTTTTTGATCTTTCAAGCTGTTTAAAGGCACTCAGCAGGTGTTGCATTGCTTCAGTCCAAAACAAGTTAAATAAAAATCGCCCATCCATAAAAAAAAAAGTGTCTCACACGGCTCCGGGGGGTGAACAAAGGCCTCCTGTAGCGAATCGATGCGTTTTTGTAAGAAAAATATCCATATTCAAAACGGAATAATCACTTTAATGTAGCTTTCACCAACAGTTGTACACAGAAGCAGTTCCGGGCGGATGACGTATGAAGTCGGCTTTGCGCATGCTCCGCTCTGAAGTGACGAACGCGGAAACGCAGCAGAGAGATCAAAACAAAACAACGGTCACTTATTAGAAGTACAAAACAAGGATTTGTAAAGAAGCATGTCAGAGGATTTCGATATAAGCCAAATGAAGCAATGCAACACCCGCTGAGTGGCATTAAACAGCTTGAAAGATCAAAGACAATTTTTAATATAACTCCGACTGGATTCGTCTGAAAGAAGAAAGTCATATACACCTCGGATGCCTCGGGGGTGAGTAAAACGCAGCCTAATTTTAATTTTTGGGTGAACTAACCCTTTAAATGTTAATTTCATTGAGCTTTTGCTTGCTGTGTGTTTTGAAGGATGTGTGAGTATGTAGATCACCTTCATGAACATTTCAAAAGCCCCACCATCATCAGAAATGCCCACTACATACCACCAAAGGTAAGTTAAAAAAGAAATATAATAAACACACAAAGCAAGGGATGTACAGTATTCTGCTGCTGCACTATGATCAGGGACTTTTTGTCAATAAAATGTTGTAGCAACCCAATATAATAAGAATGAATGGACAGTTTGTTGAATCACTGAAAAATAATGCACACCTGAGGTGGCAAAGTATTATATTTCATTAATTTAATGGTCTGGAGACAATTGTTCCACAGTTATTGTTCCAGAGTTAATTACAGTTTTTCACAATTGCTAAGACATTTCTTGAAACCTTCACCCATTTTCTAACAACATTAAACAAAACCAAATCGTCAAACTAAATTCACAAAACCCCTGACCTTTCTGGCAAAATCAAACAATTTCACCTGAACTCAAAATCGAACAGTGATTTCAGATCATGCACACAGCTAGTCAATATATAAACACTACAGATCAGTCATTAGACACTACATACATTGTGTAGTATTGAATGTCTGCGTATTCAGCACTTGCATACTGTAAAATTTAATTATATATTAAATTCAAAGGAGAGGATATCAACATTTTGTGGCATTAGCATAAATTAGTGTTTTTATATCTTCAGGACTCTGGATACTCTTGTGAAATGCTGGAAGAGTCTGTGCAAAAGCATCAGTATCCTCAGGGTGAGGTTTGGAGAGCCATAGAGCAGCAGGGGAAACAATAAATATGAACACATACTGTATGTGCTACTGACTGCGATGTAAATAACATTACTACTTCCATAACTAAACTTGAAGTCCTGTCAGATTGTCTTGATTGAGTTGATTGGCAGTGCAAAGGAATGAGAAGGGTAAATGGACAATGAAATGTTTTCTTTGCGGATGAATATGGAAATTTGTATTACTCCTTTATAAGTTTGACCAATTTTAACGTTCCTGAAAGATAAATGCTTATGTTGCAGTCTGAAATGATGAAATGTACTCTGCAGCCAAAGAGGGGAATGGCACAAGTGTATGCTAAAACTACTGCTGTCTAGTTTGGGGAAATTACTAACAATGGGGAATTTTATTTGCTTATTACAGTTTTTTTAAATTGCTTACACACTAAAAGTGGTACTTGAGGCATACAACTCAGTAAAACCATTCACTCGTATTCCTAATCTAATTCCTTTATACAATACAGATTGTTTCAAAGCAGTAGTAACAAATTAAAATTCTGCTGTTAAGCAGCTCTAATAAGCAAATAGTGTCAACTCAAATCAGTTCAGGTTTTAATTAGTTCAGTTCAGTAACTGTAAAGTTCATCAATTGTATACACACTGTCTATTTTTGCATATACATGTAAGTCTGAGTGCTATGACAAACATCTGTGCACTCCACGACACACTGAACAAGCAAGAATCTAGGTAGTATTTGCCATATCCGTATGTAGTATATGGTATTTGGCAAATCATTTGACGTTTGTGTGTAGAGTTACTATGCAAAAATACAATTTTTTTATAAGAATTAAAATAGTTTTGAAAGAAGTGTTTGTTGAAATGTTTTGAATGCTGTGTGAATGTTTTGTGTTTAGAGAAAACAAGCCATAGTTGCAGAAAGTGTGTTTAAGCAGTTGTAAAAACTGTAATATAGGGGTAGAGTGGTGCGTGTAAACAATCGAATTGAAGTAAACATGTAGCTTTTCTATTTTTGTGTTTCTTAACATAACTATTTTTGTTTTCTTTTTCTAAAGCGATTCCTGTTAATAAACGTTAATAAGAGAGAAAGTCGTGTCTGTTAATGCTGTTGTGCTCTGCTTTGCACCACCTGCTAATTTTAGGCAGATGATATAGTAAAGCAGGAATTTCTTTTTTCCACACAAGAAATGGACATGACAAGAGTCGTTTGTTCAATTACATTGGCAGTAAATCTATTAATGTTGGAGAAATGCTAATCCAGTGTGATAACTGATTTCAAACTTTATAGTTTCTTAGATATACACTGTAAAAATTATTGTTTGAAGTTGTAAATAAAACAAAGATAATTGGAGTATGGTTTAGAAAATACTATTTTAATCTTTCCACTTCAAAATTCATGTTCAATTTTGTTATAATTATTTGTGAAATTTATTAATTTATCAATTTCCTTACATTATGACAATATGGTGTACTGAAAATAAATTTTTGCCATGTTTAGCCATTTCTTGATATTATCAATCACTCATACCAATACCCCCCCCCCTTCCATAGTTTAACATAGTTTGGTTAAAATTTCTCAATAGTAGTGTAAAAAACACCTTTTTTACCCTGTCAAAAACGGACTGCGTCTTCAGCAGCTCAGATGTTGGGAGTAAATGACGACTGCTATGTTCATTATTACATCCAACAACAGAACACCTCAATCGCTTAGGAGTCATTCTTGTCTACATCTGCTCCAGCGGTGAAACAATGGCGGACTGATGACAGCTCACTCAGGGCGGAGCTAAGGTAAGACACCAGTCCAGTCTGTGCTGAAACGCTACTGTCAATCAAACTATCGTGGGAGGGGCCTCTCTGTGTGATGTCACACAGACAGGCATCTTGAGATCAGCTTGATTTGAGAAAGGGGAAAACATTTAACGAGATAAAAAAAAAAAAACACTGGGTGGATTTTTATCATTATAGGGTGGTTGTGTACACACACTGCCAACACACATTTCAGTTCAAACAACTTGTACAAGTGCATGTAGCATCCTATGACCCCTTTAATGTTGTACACTAATGTTGCCTGTATTGTCCTTTAAAATATATACTCGTAACTTGTATTTATATATATATTATATTTATATACTATATGGTTTATTTTTTTACTTTATATGGTTTATTTTTACATACTTTTTCATACAATTAAAGTTACTAACATTTTCAGGAGCAGGCGATTAATTCTCATAAGGATACACAGCATGGACTATTTTTAACCATGGGGAGGCACGGTTTCTATTTCTGAGAAAGTCATCTGCAGTTCAATGTTTCTTTTGAAGACTAAAGGGCATAAGATGCAAGGAAATGCATGAACTCTTGGCAAGCATTTTAATGATGAAGAATCAAAGCTTTGTGTTCTCACAGACCTCCTCATTTTATAAGCTACTTTGGGGACAAGAGAATGGAATCACATGCATATTATTCAGGAGCAGTTAATAACTAAAAGGCCAGATGAGGTCTCCTATGATAACATGTACCCTGAAACACCCCATTCCTTTTTTCCTAAATTGGATTTTTAAGCAACTCACAATGCCCAGGGACAGATTAAATGAAAATGCACTCTTTTATATTCAAACTATATACTTATACTTAAATCATAGCCTACTCAGTGCTCAAATAACGGATTTCATTTGATATTTGATAAAAGTTCACATTAGTGTAACAGCCACACAGTCCAAATGCTAAGCAACATGACCTTTAAATGAACGAGTCCAAAATGAGATGAAATTTTGTAGTTTGCAACAGCACATTACAGACATGTACATTTCTAGCCTGACTCATAAAATGAGATTATTTTAGACTAATAAATATTTTTAGACTAATAATTGTATTATTATTTTTTATATTTTTGGCTTTCTAGCCTTGAGACAAAAGACATTATTCTACATCTTCAATTGCAAATTGGAATGCCATTTTTATTGTTTTATTATTATTATTATTATTATTAAAAACTTACCCACATCATTTCATTTACAAGAACTATTTAATAAAGAATTACAAAAAATAAAGGTGTTACAGAAGTGCAATATAAATAATATTTAATATGACAATGACATGCTCCTCAAAATTAAACAACATATAAAAAAAGAATCCTTTATGTAAACCAGAAAATGTCTAGGTAACACTTTACAATAAGGTTCCATTTGATAACATTAGTTAACATGAACTAACAATGAAAAATACTTCTAAAGCATTTATTAATCTTAGTTAATGTTAATTTCAACATTTACTAATACATTATTAAAATCAAAAGTTGTATCTGTTAATATTATTTAATGGACCTGAGCTAACATGAACAAACAATGAACTGTAACAAAGATTAATAAATTCTGTTACAAGTGTATTGCTCATTGTTGGTTAATGTATTTAGTAGTGTTAACTAAAAGGATCTTATTATAAAGTATTAGTCATGTCTACATACTGGACAGTCCTGAAACATCAGCTAAGCACAGAATTACAAGCCTAAACAAACACTTAAGGGGAAAAAAAAACATTATTACACATGAATTGCATGTCTCAGTGCAACGTGACAAACAAAATATGTTGCATTTGCTGTTCTGATGTTGATCAGTTTTTCGTAATGCAGCACAAAACAACAAAAACAAATATTGTACACTGCAGCTACTTCACATGGTCCCTGGATGAACGAGTGATGGAAGTGAAGTAAGTGTCATGCAGAGACGGAATATTAGATGAAAATGTGCTAAGGTTTTTTCCAGATAATCAATTTTTTTCACATAAAACCAAGAAATGATACCTGAAATGTTCTGAAATTGTCGTAAAGCAAATCAAAACTTATAATTTAGTTAGAGAATGCAGCACAGTTTATACAACATAGGCTACAACTCAAGGTGTGGTCACATGTACAGCTATTTGGCTATTTTTCATGGGAGATATGCAATCATTTAAATAGGAATCTGCACAATCTGGAGTTTGGCAAGAGAAAGCTTGGTTTGAAAGTGACTTTTGTTTACTGTCATTCAGCAATTTTTTTTTTTTTTGCGGGTGAAATACAGCCATTTCAATAGAAATCCACGTGATCAGGAATTGATCAGGGCCGGGTGTAAGATTATCCCCATGTAGATTTCGTAACTTGTTCAAGTCAATCACGCAAATTCAGTGTTGACCAACATAAAGCTGCTTGGTTTGAAAGTGACTTCTGTGTGAACTGAGCTTCATACATCGCTACACTATTGACAATAGACCTTTTTTGCCTATAAAACTTTGCCAAAATATCGCTGATGTGACTGAATCTTAAGACTGAATGCACAGTTAGTGGTCATGTATTATAAAAGGTCAAAAACAACTAAACATTTACTTAGTGTAATATTTCATGTACCTGACAAACATCTTGACAGTTTTTCTTTGAACTGATGTCTCTATTTAACAGTTGTATCTCATATACTGAAAGCATACAATACTATAAAGATAATGACTGCATTAAAAATAAATCCTTTATATGTTGTGAAAGCAGACATTATGCTATTCTATGTTGTATACATTTTGAAAAGTGGGACACTGAACTGTTATTCTGTGTATATGTTTATTAATCCAAAGAGTAATACAGACATATAAAATTAAGGCATAAATAGTGTGTATAGAATTCAAGTACCAGCCAACACTAGACTGAGTGAGGAGCTTAGCGCTCGCTACCTTTAGCACCAGTTTATGTTGCAGCACCAGGTACTTCATTACTGGTTTTACATCTGATCTGCCATCAGCTTCAATAAATAGAAACATCTGCAACCTTGCAATTATGTGGAATTGTGCTCTAGCTTTGTGGTTATCTGTGGTTCAAATGAAGAAAAAAAAAATGGACTTGAACTGCAGTCCTAAATTCCTAAAGTTAAAAGATATGATTTTTCCATCAACAGCTAATCAGAAAAGAAAATTCAATTACTATAGTAGTTACTGCAGTTCTGATGTATATTTATAGGCCAACCTGGAAATTGGCATCACCCTGGTTCCCTTCACAAAAAAAGCAACAGGATTTTTCCCATTGGCTTTTGGATTATTGCAGAAAATAAGCTCTGTGGCCAATAAAAGTTTGATTCTTAAACATTTTGTTCGTAATGCTACTCTTCACATGATGAATTTTGAAGCTTACAATCGTCCACAGTTGCATGACTTCAAGGTCACCACCATTGAGCTTCTGACAACTCTTAAAATAAAACCTTTTCCCTGAAAGTTTGCTGAAAGTTGTTGCACAACAATGCTGTGAAAGTGAATTAGTGAGAACATGAGTTTTCATATTCGAGTGATTATGTTTCATTTCACTTACAACCTCTGTAGTCCCATTTTAGCCTCCTGTTAGCAACCAACTTTTTCAAGACAAGAAAAGTAAAATGACAAGGGGGTTTTACTGATGTATGTTATGCCACAGAATGAAAACATCATGAGCTTGTGTTATGCACAAAACTTATTTTAGGCATTTAACCAAAAACCCATTCAATAAACCCAATGACTTTGGGACGGTGAACCGGAAGAGCTACAATGCTAACTATGCATGCTAAAATTACATCATCCCTGCATTACTCTATAGTGAGATGGCAAGATGGTCCACTCTGCTTTACTACCACTTATCTGAGATGATGGGTGGAAATAAGCACTATTACTGTATGTGTAAAAGGATGTAAGGACAAAGTAGCTCCCTGATGAACTGTAGGTCAATGGCAACAGCTTGACCAGACCAGACGAAAGTCTGTCCAACAATGGATTGATCCATATCTGCTTTGAGTATTTGTGTGTCATAATCTTGTGTTCCCTGGCTTACAACAGTCATTCTGCTATCCCCCTGTATCTCAGCGAC